TTTGTATCTAGATGTGTAGGTATAAGTGGAAGTATTAGAAATCAGGGGTTACCTGCATTTAGTGCTGAGAGCTGTCCTTTCTCCTGTATCCTGTGTTTTTTGTTTTTATTTTTGCTGATTTTTTTTTCTGGGCAGGTAATCTATATTTACACGAATTCATCATTTCTGTTCTTTAGCCTTTCAATGAAAGATTATTCCTTTGCTGAAATTAATTTGGTTTAGAGGCCATGTGGACTTGCTATATTTGTTTATACATCCAGGCTTTCTGAATAAGTGCATCATGTTTTATTGCCAATGACTGCACTTGCCGAGTGTTTGCATCATACTTGGTATGTGGTTATTAATCCAAAGTTTGATTCTTTCTGTGGGGAGATTATCTTAATAAATACAGAATCATGAGGGAATTGGAAAGTCAGATCTTTAGAAATTGGGGCTCATCTGTGTAGGCAGTACCCTAATTTTACATAGTTCCTTTTAAAGCTAGAGATTATCCCTCTTTTCATAAGAATTAGAAAGGTGTAGGAAAAACAGAAAACTTGTTCATGTTTCCCAATTCAGACTCCTTAAGGAGTGAATAAGGCATTTTCTTTCGGTTTGTAGATACAGGGATAACTTGTAGGAGTCTAGAAATGTTTTTCCACAAGTCCTCATCTTCCTAAGTATTTCTAGCTTCCTAGAATGGGAATTAGGTTTTCTTTTTGCTGTAAAAAACAACATGGTGGTAAACAGAATACATTGAAGTAGTAGTGTGGTATTTTTGAAGCCAATATTTATCTGACATCAAGAAATAGATGTTCAACATAAATTCATTTTCCATGTGTTTGTAGCCTACCTCTTTAAGTGTCAAAGTTTGTGTATTTTAGCCATTTTCTTTGAGGAAATTAACAAAAAAAGACAGACTTCATGTTACATTTAGAATTGTCTTTACCAAACACTGTACAGGGATTCTGTGTTATCAATGTTTTCTATCCTTTAGATATTTCTTTTCTCTTAAATACGCAAATGCTTTTATACAGAAACAACCATACACTTCATGTGTATGGATATGAATGCAGGCCAGTGAATGCCTTTCAAACCAAGGCCTGGATTAATTTTCCCAGATAATTTCATCATAGTACTCTTTCACCTCCAAGCTTCTAAAGGCTCCTAGAGTCTGACCATACTGTGTTTGCCTGTGGGTGTGTGTAAATATGATTAATTTGTCATTGCTTTTGTCAGCATTTTGTTAGCAAACATTTCAATCTAGCCAGGTCAGTTTCCACACAGTCTGATTATTCCATGTCCCTTATCCCTTGTTCATGCTGTTGTTTCCTTTCTGTTCGGGGACTTTGAGGAAGTTATGTATCTTTGTGCATTTTCTTGACAGCTTGTTTCTTACGGTCTCAGTGATAGTATAATTGGATTGTTTCCTTTGCATTAGAAAGACTGAGACAGGTATGCAAGGAAGTCTAGAAAATGTAATTTTTAGCTTTCCACCAAACTAGAGAGGAATTAGAGAGGATGACTTTTGTAACCAGTCCTAGCCTTTTATCTCTGCTTTTTATTTCTCACCCTTATTTTTCTATTCACCAGATTTCCTAAATTGGCTTTAAAAAAAAAACTTGTAAAGCCACATCTATTTTTGTAAACCACCTAGTCCTTCTGGGCCTTGCTATACTTATCTCTGTGGGGGAACTTAGAGTAGGTGATCTCTTAAGTTTCCCACAGCTATAAGCTTCTGTTTATGTTCATTTTTTTATTCTTTCATTAGAAAATATTTATTGAATGCCTGCTCTTTGGTAGATATGATCAGCCATATAAGATTTTCTACCCTCCAATAATAAAACAATTCATGTTCTCAGTATCGAAGTTATGTACTGCTTCATTTATAAAGTCTTACCCTACATGGTAGCCTATATTATGTCGTCTTGCTTCACAAATTGCTTCAGCACTTATTAAAAAAAAAGACGTAGATTAACTTGTGTTTTGATTATTTTGATTACTTAATGTAATTGCAGGTACCTTGAAGAATGATACTCTTTTTTATAATCATTTAATATAGTGCTAGTCACACAGTAATTATAATCATAATAATAACTAATATTTATGAACACTAACTTTGAGGCAGGCATTGTTTAAAATGTTTTCCATATATCCATTCCTTTAATGATTATAAAATGCTTGTGAGATGAGATCTCTTTTCACCTGCATTTTTACAGATGAAGAAAGCACACAGAGGTTAAATAAATTTCCTCAGGATTATATTGCTGGTAAATGAAGCCAGGATATTGAGCACAGACAGTCAGATTTAAAAAACCCATGTACTTATACATTTTGCTATCGTGTGTAATTATTATATACTTGTTGAATGAATGGAAATGTTTTTGTTTTTAATATGTATTGGTTACACTTTTGGTATATTTTCACTTTGGATAAAGGACTAAATAAGGATATTTCACTCTGAATACTTTTTTAAAAAGTATTATTTTATATTTAATATTACTTTAATTTGGGGAGGGATTTGGTTTATTTATTCACTTATTTTTTAATGAAGGTACTGAGGTTTGAACCCAGGACCTTGTGCAAGCTAAGCATGCACTGTACCACTGAGCTGTACCCTCCCCCCAGAGGAGAATACTTTTTAAATAAGGACAAATAACTTACCAAACTGAATATAGTGAATGACTCTCAGAATTAATAATGAATATTCAAATTGTGTAGTTACACTTTGAGGGATTTTGGATAATATATTTTTCAAAGAAAATTTGTGATATACATAATACTTACAGATGAATGTTGCTTTGTATTAAGTGTCTTGATTATTGTTTGTTGCTCATTTTCAGTTGAGTGGTGATTTTATGCAATGGCTTCAAGCCACAGTTCTTCACCAGTGCCTCAAGGAAGCAGCAGTGATGTTTTCTTTAAAAAAGAGGTAGATCCAACAAAACACATTCGACCTGTGCAGTCACTGCCAGATGTGTGTCCCAAGGAACCCACAGGTAATGCCTTTTTTGGGGGAAGGGGGATTTTTACTGAGGATTTGTTTTATCTTTAAATGAAGATTTCGTATACTTATCTCAAAAAAGTACATTTTATGATGTGGAAACTAAAGACATATAATTTGGAAGTAAGTTGATTGAGAAATTGGAATATAGTTCTTTTCATGCATTTCCATGAAAGAAGTCACTTATGTAAACTGAAAAAAATAATTTAAAAAATGAGAGTACAAGTTGAAAGTTCTTAAACATAGAACAATCAGTCTTCATTGTTTGCAGATTCCATGTTTGCAAATTTGCCTACTCCTGAAAACTTGTTTGTAACCCCCAAATCGATACTTATGACACTTCTGTGGTCATTTGCAGACATGCAGAAAGTGAAAAATTTGAATCTCCTGATCCACTTAAGGTTGAACAAAGCAATATTCTGCCTTCTTGTTTCAGCTTTCATGCTGTAGACACACATCCCTTTTGTGGTCTATTTAGTGCCACATTGTTTTGGTGTTGTGCTTTTTGTTAGTGATTTTGCTGTTTGAAATGGTTCCCAAATGTAGTGTTGAAGTGCTTTCTAGTGTTTCTTAGCACTTGAAGGCTGTATTATGTCTTATGAGGAACATGCATGTTATATAAGCTTCATTCAGATATGAATTATAGTGATGTTAGCCATGAGTTCAGTGTTACTGAATAAACTATATATTAAATAAGGTGTCTTTAAGCAGAAATACATACAAAACAAGATTCTGTATTGATTGGTTGATGAAAGTGTTATGACCGGATTTTCAGAAACCTAACTCTTTATCTTCCCTAGGAATAAAGGTTCAGTATTTGCTTATTAAGTGTTCCAGTGACTTTGTAGGACAAAACTGTAAATAACGAGAACCAACTGTGTATTTTTCTTTCCTTTGTGATTAGTGTCACAGCAGCTTTTAGGTTATCTAACTTTAAGCTGAATAAAAGCATATTGGAACCAGGAGTGTCTGCCATAATATAATAGAAAAAAGGCCTACCTGTGAAAAAAAACTGGAGTGTTAAAGGATAGAAGATATACAATAGAAGGTAGAAGAGTTTTGATGTTGAAAAAAGATAGAGAAATTGTACATTAAGGAATTAATGACTGTATCATCCACCCCACCTTGCAACTACAAACCCTCAATTTTTGCATATCCTTTATCTTGTACATATTTTTTCTCCCCTTGGCAATTGATGCTGGAAGCTGAAGTTTATTTAATCAAATTGATTTTTTAAAAGCATTTGCTATAGAAGAAGAAGTTTAGTTGCTTTGTATAATTTAAGCATTTTTATTTTTCTATGATATACTTTCAGACATAAAACTTACTTTACAGAGTTCTCTTGTTTACTTTTTGCAGGTGATTCAAATAGTTTATGTGTTGCCCCATCTCTAGTTACAGATCAACATAGATGGACTATATATCATTCCAAAGTAAATCTCCCAGCAGCATTAAATGATCCTAGATTAGCAAAAAGAGAATCTGACTTCTTCACAAAAACATGGGGATTGGACTTTGTGGACACTGAAGTCATACCTTCATTCTACCTCCCACAGATCAGCAAGGAACATTTTACAATATATCAACAGGAAATCTCTCAGGTAATATCCAGTCTTGCAATTGGTTATAGTCAGGTCAAAAGAAGTATTTTTAGTTTGATTTATTATAGATTTTTGACCAATAATCTTTGATGAGCCTATGGTATTCTTTTCTGTTCTACACATTCTGTTGTCTTGGGTTCTATTTAATTCTTTGCTTAAATATATACTTCTCTTACAGTAGTGAACTTTCAGAGTGACCCATTCCTAATAGTGCTAAGATTCAACCTGAAACTCATCCTACCTACCAAGGAGAAAAAGGTTCTTTTAGGCCTGTAAAGCCCGGATAATTTGTGGGGTTAAGAAATGAATAGTGGGATTGTTTCTATGTCTCTCATTCACCACAGACAATTCAACAGAGCATCCTAGCTCTAGCAGATTTAATACGTTGTTCTAAGCTTGGTTCTCAGAGCAAGAACTGAGTGCAGTGCTGAGTTTGAGGTGGCTTATTACTCATTTTTAGTAAGTGACTATTATCAATATAATTCTAGTTACCATTTCAATCTTTAAAAAATCATCATTAAACTGGTACAGGGGATTTAAAAACTTAAAAAAATTGAAATATAATTGATATATATATATATAAAACATATTAGTCTAGGTGTACAATACAATGATTTGATATTTGTGTATATTGTAAAATAATCACCACAATAAATCTGATCAACATCCATCATTGTATGTAGTTACAAAAAATTCTTTTTTCTTGCAACAAGGACTTTAAGATCTGTTCTCTTAGCAACTTTCAAATATTCGATGCAGTATTACTAACTATAGTCATCATGCTTTATGTTACATCCCTGTGACTGAATTATTTTATAACTGAAAGTTTGTATAAGGGATATTTATTTATATTCTTATAATTTCTTTTTATACTTTTTCAGTTAGCAAGCCTAATTTGCATTTAGCTCATTTTATTTCATTTGATTAGTTTGTTCTTTTTATTATTTGGAAATAGGCTGAATATGGCTATATTATTTTCATTAATACTATATAGTATCTGGTTCATTTTTAGTACCACCCAATATTTTTGTTCAGAAACTGTAAATATTTCCTTTTGTATGTGTATATTGCCATATATTGTCTGGAGTTTTTGTGTTCTGTTTTAAATGTTCATATCTAACTGTCTGGATGTTGTTAAATATATGAGCTTTAATATTCCTTCTTTTTGATGGTTTCTAATCTCATACCTTTTAACCTAAAATTTGGCTTTCTGTTTGTTCATTTATTGATCAAATATTTATTGAGTGTCTTCCAGTGCCAGGCACTGTTCTAAACACTCGGGATATAGCAAAGACCAAAACAAGCACCAATTCCCTTCATTACAAAACTTACATTTCTAGGAGGCGATATAAACAATACCCTAAAGCAAACACTAAAATAACAAAACGAAGAATTACAGCTAAGAAGTCAGTGAAGGAGATGATATGAAATTAAAAAATTCTCAATCCAAACAAAGACAGAAGAGTAAAAAGGAAACAAAAAATACATGAGACAAAAAGAAAATAAACATCATGATGATAGACTTAAACCTAACCCTGTCAATAATCATGTTAAATGTAAATGTTTAAGCACTCCATTAAAAGGCAGAGATATGCAACTGGATGAAACAGCAAGACCCAACTATATGCTGCCTATAAGAAATGCATTTTGAAAGTAGAAGGATGGAAAAGGCTTAACACCAGTCAAAAAAAGCTGGAGTGACTATATTAATATCAGCCAAAATAAATCTCAGAGCAAAGACTATTACTAGGGATGAATGTTGTTTTACGATAAAGGTGTCAGTTAATCAAGAGGATATGATCCTTCTAAACATTTATACCCCTAAATACAGGGTTTCAAAATACATGAAGCAAAAACTGGAAAATTTATGAGTGAAATAGGCAAATTCACAATTACGGTTGGAGATTTCAGTACTCTCAGTAAGTGATACAACAAGCAAACAGAAAATCAGCAAGTATATAGTAAGCTTGAAAAACACAGTAAGCCATCCTGACTTAACTTGAAAGAACACCTTGAGAGAACATTTCACATGACACAGAAGAATGCATTTTCTTTTCAAGTTCTCATGGAACATTTATCAAGACAGACCATAATCTGAGCTGTAAAACAAATGTTAATACATTGAGAAGCCTTCAGGTCATACAAAGTATATTCTTTGACCACAATAGAATTAAATTAGAAATTAATAACAGAAATTCACAAATATCTGGAAATCAAAACTTACACTTCTAAGTAAAACATGGGTCAATGAGTAAAAGGAAATAAGAAAGTAGTTTGAAATGAATAGAAATGAAAACACACATACCAGAATTTGTTAGATGCCACTCAGGCAGTACTTTGGGAGAAATTTGTAGAAGTAAATGCATATATTCAAAAAGAATGATCTCAAATCAGTGACCTCAGCTTCTACCTTAACAAGCTAAAAAAAAAGGAGCAAATTTAAACCAAAATAAGCAGGAGAAAGAAAGAAACATCAAAGTCAAAATCAATGAAGTAGAAATCAGAGAAACCAAAAGAGAAAATCAGAGAAACCTAAAGCTGGTTCTTTGAGAAGATAATAAAATTGACAAACCTCTAGCAATACTGATAAGGAAAAAAAGAAGATATGAATTATGAATTATAAGAATGAGAGTAGTGGTATTACTGCAGATTCTATAGAGATGAAAAGGCCACTAGTGGAATATTATAAATAACTTTATGCTAATAAATTTAACAACTTAGATAAATTGACAAACTCCTTGAATGAGGTGTATTACCAAAGCACTTTCAAGAAGAACTGGATAACACAAATAGCCTTATATTTATTTTAAAAATTAATGTGCAGTTAAATAGCTTTCCACAAAGAAAACTCAAGTCCACATAGCTTCACTGTTGAGTCCTTCTAAATACTTAAGGAAAAAATAATACCGAGCCTACCCATATTCTTTCATATTTTGATGAGGATGTGGAGGACAAGGCCAGTAGTGACATGAGGCAAATGAGGTGCCTAAAGTGTAAAATGTGAAAGGGCTCCAGAATCTGAGAGTAGGTACCTCCTTAAATATTGCACTCTGGGCTCCTTGCTTGCCTCACCCTACTGCCAGCCCTGGTGGAGTAATTAGAATCCTCCTATACTGTTGGTGGGAATTTAAAGTGTACAAAGCTTTTGGAAAACAATTTGGCAGTTTCTTGAAAAGCTGAAGATACTTCTGGTCCAGGGTGTAAGGAGCTTGGAAGTTTTTATTCCTGCTTTCACAACAGGAAAAAATCAGAACAAACTGGAAGTCAACAACTGGGCACGGATTCACTAAAAGACATATCTGAGGACTAGAGAATGCTTCCTTGCCTCCCATATTTTACCAGCACATCAGTAGGGCACCCATATAATAATAGGGGACCCATATAATAATAGGGGAATACAACTGAAAGAACTGCAAGTCTCAGACTTTATTTATGAAGAAGTCTCTGAAGACAGCAAATAATGGCCGAAAACTTCCAAATTTAGTGAAAGACCTATAGATTCAATCAGTTAAACGAACCCAAATAGATAAACCCAAAGAAATCCAAGGCTCTCAGATTTTAAAACTAAATTCTATCTACCTGACTTCTAACTATTAATTTCCAGAGGAAATTAAGTATGTCCTATGTAATGGCTAAAGAATTAGAATATAGAAAACATATTTGAGTAACCTTAAAAATCTATAAGCAAAAAAGGAATAGATAAAGGGAAGAAAGACATAAATTCTATAGTCATGGTAAATCACAAAATGTGATTGGCCAGTAAATACATATGAGAAGAGAGAACTCAAGTCACTCGTAATCGAGGAATATACACACTGCATCATTCCAGAAATTGGGTTATAGGTATACTACATTCTACTGGTTGATCAGAACATATTAATATAAATTGGAAAGCAGTTTGGCACTATCTGATAAAGTTGAGTGTATTTATTGCCTGTGACTGAGCAGTTAACTCTACTTCTATGTATAGAATGGCAGTAAGGAAAAAAATACAGATAATTTTTAGAAACTGAACCTCCTTCATTAACTTTTTGATTTACTAATGGTGCAGGTCTGCTCAGTGAAAATCAGATACACACACTATCCCTGATGACATAACTCAACAGATTACATGAAGGAATTAATGTAAATGCTTTATTAAGGCACTTTGTTATACTACAGTTTTGTATAGCACATGAAACTATGTATTGTTAATGAGACACAACACACTGAATATACGTAATTTCTTCAAATACATATTTTATTGTAATGTGATATTAATACTGTTTACTGTATACATTAGAAAAGACATATTGTAAAGCTACAGTAACATACAGCATGATTATGACAGAATAGTCTTATAGATAAAGGAACAAAGTAGAGGGCTCAGAAATAGACCCAAACAAATACACTGAACTGATTTTTGACAAAGATAAATACTTGTAAAACACAAACGGTAAAGGACTGGTATCCCAAGTATGCAGAGGACTCTTAAAATGCAACAATAAAATACGGTGCAATTAAAAAACAGGCAAAAGACTTGAATAGACATTTCTCTCAAGAAGCTATATGAATTACCAATCACCACATGAAAAGATGGTCAACATTACTAATGGCTTTATTTTTGTTTTTAATTAAAAAATTTTGAAATATGGTTAATGTACAATATTATGTTAGTTTTAGGTGTATTACATAAATGATTTGACATTTGCATACATTATGAAATGATCATAAGTCACATAACTGTCTCCCAGTCTCTGACTTGTCTTCATTCTCTTAACGGTGTCTTCCGCAAGTGGAAGTTTTTAATTTTAACAAAGTCCAACTTGTCAGTTTTTTCTTTCATGGATTGTGCTTTTCACGTCATTTGATGCTCCAGCATCACTTATTCAAAAGACGCTCCTTGCTCTATTGAATTGCCTTTGTGTCTTTTAGAATGGCAAAAATCCAAAACACTGTCGACATGAAATGCTGGCAAGGATGTGGACTAATAGGAACTCTTACTGTGTGTAGGAATGCAAAGTAGTACAGCCACTTTGGAAGACAGTCCTGTAGTTTCTGACAGAACTACTATCAGAACTCTGAACACTGTTAGCCCAGGATTTTTTCCTAGCCACACTCCATTTTCCCATATGTCATATATATGGTATCTGAAAAGATAACAGTGTTGTTAGTGGTCATCTAATGTGAAATCAGAGTGGGGTTTCTTTCTTTCTTTTTTTTCTTTTGACTCAGAGGAAGTATCAATTAATACTTTATATCTTTGGTATATAGGTTTCACAATTTTCTTTTTTGTTTAAAAAAATTATTTTCTTAATTGATTTCTGTTATAAAAATAAGAGTTTTTCATTTGTTTTCCTACTTCATTCCAAGTTTGTGGAGATTTTGCTGAACCTACAGAAAATGGGATGAGTATAAGTATATATACATTCATACATCTTAGTGGCA